GTGTTGTGCTGGGGTAGCACCAACTAAATGAGGTGCTCCGGAATATGGTGTGTGTCTCATAAGCTCTTCATGTGACCAAGGGTCACAGTTGTGTTAGGTAGCATCTTTGTGTGTCAGCTGCCCCAGAATTACTTGTCTAGAATATCTGTGTCAGCGTATTGGTAAGAAACAGCAAATAAAGTAAACATTGTTCATTTTGGTTCATTTATTCCCCAATAGAATCCTGTACAATAGATACTGTTATAGCTATTTTACGGATGAGATGGTCCAGGGACAGATTAGATAAGAAACCTCCGTAGATCCTCAGAGCTGCTACCTGGTAGGACTAGGATAGTTGTGACCCTCAAAGCTGGTGCTCCTGGAGATCAATCTGATTTCCACCACCTCTGTCCTTGCTGTTTAGCCAGACTGGATCATTTACAATGTCATGGCTTATTCTTCTTCCCCCCTCAGAGGTCTGTCTTCCATGTGATATTTAAATATCCCAAGATAGGTACATTTGTTTTTGTCATGCCAATTTTTGCCTCTTATGACGATGATCTTATCCTACAAAAATTTTAGTTTTCCAAAGCAGACTTCTTCACTGTAGGTAAATTTTACCCAGTTTTTCAAATCAAAAGAAATCCAATAACCACAGCCACCACAGAGCCACACCAGATCTGGCCCAAGCTTGCCTTTTACCTCCTCTTCTCCCTTAGGTCTTTCAGATGAAGTCCCAGCACCCATGTGGGCTAAGGTAGTTAGATTTCCTTGCCTTTTTTAAATTTTATATATCATTGGTATATATTGTAGGTATGTCTTACATTTTGTCTATCTGCTACATGGAAATACCATTTCTACACTTATTTCAGGAAAATCTCTGCTTTCAGTGTCCCAGGGTCTATTTATCTGCATATATGTGTATGGATTAGGTACAAGGGCAGAATTCTGTTGAGATTTTGCTGCTTTTGTGTAGCTTCTTCTATATGAAAAAATTAGTTTAATCACATTATAAATCTACCCAGATATTAATTATATTTTCTTCAGATTTCAAGTGACTTTTAATATAGGACCTCATTATGTTACAGCCATCCTCTCACAAGCTCAATTTTTTTTTTTTAACATAAAAGGTGGAAAGAGCTTCTAAGAAGGAGAATGAGGATGCAAACCCCTTTTAGGTAGCATTTTAGAAAAGTTAGGTCTATTTGAGCTTCCTTACCAACCTCCAAAATTGCAGTTTAATCTTCAGTTCAGCAAGAAATTATCCTTTCCCTTCAATAAAATTAACATTTGAAATCAAGATTTCTGTGATTTTAATTAATAATCTTATTTATTTCAGTTATTAAGACTATACAAAGCTCAAAATGTCTATTAAAAAATGAGTAGAGCTAGAACTCAAGACACTGAGAACAAATGTTTGGGATAGACCATGGATAGAAATAAGCAAAATGTCCATTGTGTCTTTTATAATTATCCGACTTGCCCACTATCAAGAGTACCCACAAACTCAGAGAGCTGCTGTTTGGTATTTCAGTCACCAAGAATTTTTGAAGCAGAGATTCCTATGCTTTTGAGTCTTTAGATATTGTCAAGGCAATTTACTGATTCGAATCCTCTTATTTTGTTGAATTTCTTTTGACCCAAATTTTGGATTGTTTAAATTACTAGCTTTTTAACCTCTTGGGAATGTCAGATCACTTTGATGACCTATAGAAGCAGGTTGTCTCTCTCCAGAAAAATGCATGTGCACATAGTCAACCAAATTTAATATAAAATTTCAGGGTTCAAGAATTGTTGAACCTGTTCAAAAAGCCATTGAAATATTTGGAAGATCTGTATGGCACTGATGTGTTTTCATCAAGCAAAGTGGTAAAATCCCTTTAGACAAAACCTTCTGAAGGTCATTGAGTGATATCAAATGCTGTGTCAAATTGCAGAGTAAATACTGTATGAGATTTTGAATGATTCTGTCTCCATATTCTCAGTTTGCATGAATGCTCCTTACATTCTGTACGTTGCATTGTATTTTATCTTCAGTTAATCTTCATTTTGATGATTTTTAAAACCTTCTACCAATTTGAAACTAAAGGAAATGGAGAAAAGACCATAATTCTAATTTGTTGAGCTGATCACATCCTTTGACCAACTATTAAACAGCACTCTAGTTGGAGGTGGAAGTTGACCACCTTTTATTGCTAAGCAGTTGAATGTCAAGAATTATGCTACTATTAGAGGACAACTACAGAAAAATCCATTTCAGAGCATAGACTAGGTCTGTGACAATATTAAAAAATGTTCATCCACAGTGTAGCAGTCACTGATATTCATGATAAAAGCCCAAGGGAACATTTGAATGATTAAAGAAAAAGTTGGTCTGCAATTATATAGAATAAACCAGTGAACAAAAATAAGCAAAATAAACACAGTCAGGCATGTGCATAAAACTCTTCGGACATACAGACACCTACACATGAAAAGGCATATATTTATATCCATGCTTCTTCTTCTTTTTAAAAAATTTGTTGTTTTTAGTTATACATGACAGTAGAGTATATTTTGACATATTTATACAAACACGGAGTATATCTTATTCTAATTAGGATCCCAGTCTTTTGGTTGTACATGATGTGGAGACTCACTGTGGTGATTCATACATGTACATAGAAAACTTATGTCACATTCATTCCACTGTCTTTCCTACATCAACATTTCTTTAAAAGTGTGATAAACTAGTCATGTGGCTGAGGTAGTTTATCAATATGTGTTTTGCTAATTAGAGGGAAGAGTATCAAATTTTCTCTAATATGAATGTCCTGGTGATAACATTATGTTTCTTTACATTTTTAAAATGATAGATCAAATATTTGTATAGTATTTCAGTTGATTTTTACTTGTAGAAATTCAGGTATGTTTTTATGGTGTTCTCTGATATTTAATATCAAAATTCAGAAAGTGTCCTTGGTGTTTAAGGTTGAGAAGACAACCATGTTTCTGTTTAATATCTTTATTTATTAGCTTTCATAATTGCCACTAAACATTTCAAATCGATTTCATTTTTTTTGTCTATAATTACATTTCTCACAAAACTGAGATGTCAGTAGCTTTACACATTTTGTAAAAATGCATTGAGAAATGTAAGTTCCATTAAAGTGAGATATCACATTTGTCAAAATATAATTCTCAGAATGTTAAATATAATTTTCATAAACATAAGTATTGAGTACATGTCAAGATTTCATTTAGCTCAACCATCAGATTGACAAAGCCAGTGCAAAAAAGAAGCTCTATTTGTTTCCAGAGCTATCTTAATTCTGTATCTACAATATAAATTTTGGTATCAGTCCTGAATGAGGCCATTTATTCCTCTATCAATTAATTAATTAATTCACAGAATCATTAATATTTAAAAACTGTATACTCAGAATTTCTGGTATGAACCTCTTTTAGTCAAGTCCCAGGTGTCTTCCCCTTTTAGTCCTGATAGCTTTAGTTCCATGGTTCTTTAGCAAATATCAGACTCATCTGAAAGGTTTGCTACAACAGATCACTGGATTCCACCCCAGAGTTTCTGTAGACCTGGGGTGAGTCCTGGGAATCTGTATTTCTAACAAGTTCCTAGGTGATGCTACTGATCCATGGTGCACACTTTGAGAACCATTGATTTAGTTCTAGGCTTTGCCTGAGGATCAAGTGAGGCAGCAGGAGTAATGACTAACCCCTAGGAGTCAACGTAGTCTGTTCTCCATGCTATTCCTGTTTGCTTCTCCTGTCTCCTCTGTACACACAAGGTCAAGCACACCTATGCTTCCTCTGTCAAGTTGACATTGCTGGTAGCATAGCTATCCTCCAGGGATGTTCCCCGTATTTGAATATCTCAAACCCCTAATGGGGGTCATTAGGGGTCAAGTCCCAGGTGTCTTCCCCACAGAGACCTGGCTTCCCACAGTTATCTCTTGTCCCTCAGTGATTTCAGTTTCACTATGAACCAGAGCTAGAAGGCTCCAAATCATGTCCTGTGAACCCAAAAGCACTTTTATCCATCAGGTATCATTTGTGACCTTCTGTTAGTAGGAATTGTTTAATGTTTGAAAGTTTGTCACCATAAGGACATAATCCTTTCAATTTTCAATCTGCCAGTTCACTAGTCTGTTCTGCTAGTTTATTCTTAGTTACTCATAAGAAGTAAAAGCTTTGGAGATTCCAAGGAAGTTTTAAGATTGAGAGTAGTGTTAACTCAGGGCAGAAAGCTGGTCTTTTCGATCTCTTGGAAGATTTCTGAAAGCTGGACTTCTAGAGATCATAGTCAAAGTGGGCAACTGGAAGTCAGAGGTGGGAGACACTAAACACATGCTTCAGGAGTTTGATGGAGCAAGAAAGGAGAGGTTTAGAAAATTATCAAGTTGAGGGTCATTGAGTTTTTAGAGGGAGAACCATTGCAAACCAAAGATGAGTTTAAGAAGTAGATATTAGTAATGTTATAGAAATAAAATTTGAAAGAAAGAAGGAGGCTCATCCCAAGATACTGATGAGGTTAGTGATGACCTTGACATAGGAGCTTGATTTTTCTTTGTAATAGATACTCTGTGAGTTCCAAGGCTTCTTGAGCTTCCTACATACTTCTAAGTCCCATCTGAACAGTGGATACAGTTCAGTTTTCTTCTACGATATGCCCATGTTAAACCTATGTGGAGCTCCTCAGCTTCACAAAAGGAAAGAAAAGACCAGAAGCCAGTCAGTGTCTCAAGTTAGTTCATGAATATGTAGGGTAACAATCGAGTATCTCTGCAAGTTTTATGTGGGAGTTGTTCTAAGAAGCTCCATGTAAAAAAACAAATAATAATCTCAAAGCAAAGTCATGTTTCTGTTTCTGTTTCTGGTAGAACCTACTTTGATCTTCTCACCATTCCTTTGTTCAGGAAAGGGTGGGTACTTCTAGAAGAGGGTGATGTGGCAAAATTGTTAGGGGAGGAAGCCCCTTGGGGAATTCACTTGGGGCCACGGGCATGTGTATCTCTTTCCAGGACCATGAAACCTCCTTCCCCAGGGCACTCTCGGCTCAGAGGCTGTCCCCTCGGTGGTGCTTCCTAGATGGTGAGTGTGGCTTTTCTTCACCAGGGACTGGAGGGGGTTGGAGCCAGCAGGGCTGGGCGTGGATTGATAGAAGGACTAGTTTTCCAAAGATCATTCCAAAAGCTTTTCTGGGACCACAATTGGTATTTGCATCTCAAATGAGGTGGCTTGCTGATGCCACAGCACCTCTGCCTAAGTTACTTCCTCCAAATGCTTGGTTAACAGCTGGTGGAACTCAGTATCACATTGCTCAAGCTAACGTTTTTCTTTTATCACTCCACTTTAGCTATAACTGCTGAGGGCCTCCCTTAAATTGATTCAGGCCAGTGGGTAGATTCTACATGCACAAGATGGGAACTGATTTCTATATTATTTGCATGTCACGGAGCTTCCATGATATTTTTATGAGACAATCATTTTATTTTAATGTATACATTTTTGTAACAAGGATACAAAATTTCAGTTGCACTCACATCTGCTGTAGTGAGCATGACAGATTGCATGCATGTTGGGGATTGTTTAATGAGTCCATTTTCCATCTCAAGATTTTCTCACTTTTATAGATACATCCTAATCCCATCTTTTTATCCAGTCATTTGTACTGAAATACATTCTTAACTCTACACATTGTTATTTATATACTACCCAACATTTCTACCACCCGGTCTCTCTGGTGTCTATATGGAGACATGGTTTTCACTGTAGACCTCTCTTATTTATCTGAGAGGACATAGGTATAGGTAAGAGTGACAATGTGTGTGAATTACAATGGCTAGGAAGGTGGGCTCATGTATGTAATCGGGATGCAGATTTTCACTAATGCTCATCAGCTGCCTCCACGGACTCCCTCCAACTCCTTTTTATTCCACAGCAGTGAGAAGCACAATCATTTGTTGCTCCTGAATTAACAGAGGAACATCTCAATTTGAAGAAAATTATGAAAGTACTTATGTTATTATAAAAATGTTATGTTCTATGTATAGTCTTGGTGGATAATGGTTTTGATAATGGTTTTAATCTAGATATTTCTTTACTCTATAAAGAGTTTCATTGAAAACCTTTTAATGGTTAACTAATTGTTAAAATCATGCCTGAAATCATGGGTAAGAACAAAGTAGAGTAAGTCATTTTAGAGACAGATTTTACTCTAGTCTTACATTATAAAGAGCAATGACCTTGATTATCTTAGTTCTTAACTAAGAAAACCAAATAAAACTTAGTTTTATTTGGAGAAAAGCTACTCTTAAAAGTTTGTGATTTTTAAATGATAATTTGTGCTTTTGAGTTTTTCTCTATTTTTTCTTTCTTTCTTTTTTCTTTTTTGTAAAACATCTGTAATATGTGAATTCTTGGATTTAAGGGAGGAGAAACAATTTTCTTTTAATATTAGGAATATTCAAAATAATTTCTAGGCACTCAAAATATGTACTTTTGTGTTTTTTTTCTTAAACCACAGATGCACCTTAATACCTCTTAGAGAATGATCTATATCGCCATCTATACCACATCCATATCTCTATCTACTTTGTCTGTTTGTTTCCTTCAGATAGGCCTCTAAGGACGCAGTTTGAAAGTTATGTGATGGCTTTAAGGTCAGCTGTGTTTCCTGGCTGCATCTTCATTCAAGCCCTTCCTTAGGAAGTCTGGGGTTGTTTTTTGTTTGTTTGTTTGTTTGTTTTTCTGGCTTTCTTTATGTAATAAAGCTCTGTTTAAGGTCTTATAAAAATTCTAAAGACATAAAAGAACAAATGAAACAGAAACCTTTAAAGAAGCTAGCTACGTATCTTATTCTCATAGTTATATGTGAAATTCATCTGTATAACAAGTTTAAATAAAATATAAATGTGCATAGAGGTAGTAGCAATAAATTCTTTCCAGGGTAGTGGAGTGAATAGAGGAAAGTATCCTAGAAGTAGAAACATTTGAGTTGTTCCTTAAAAGACAAGGAAGAGTTAGATGGCAGATGTGATGGGGAAGGAATCCCTAAGCATTGGAACAGCAGTGGCTAAGTGCTGAGTTTTTCTTAATAGATTTAGGGAGTGACCAAGTATCTAGCATGACCGAAATTCAAAGGTTTTGATTGGCACCGTGGAAAAAGATAAGGCTGTAAATTTGGTGACAAATCACAGATGAACGTGAATACTATGTGCTTTTTTTCTTTTTCTCCTAGCAACTTCTGCTGACCGCTTTTATCGAATAGACAGATCTCAGGTAAGTTTCCTTCACCCTGTTGACAAAATTGAAAAACTCCAAAGTCTGTATACTGTATTTATAGCTAGTCCCATAAGTTTTTCCAACAAAAGCATTGAAACATTTGTAAACTTTGGAGTTGTATTTGTAGTGGAAGCCCAGGGGCCCTTTTGTCTTCATGTATTTTATGATTTTTGGAGTGAATGATAGGCTTGACCTTGCAAATGGTCATAGAGAGTAACGTGGCTTGTAGATATCACCAGCCTGCATACCAAATTTTCCTTCACACAGTGCTTTTACTCCTGCAAACCCAAAATTTGTCTTTTAAACTCATTTCTGATGAACTAGTTTGAGACCCTAATTGTATATGCAGGCTACATAGTTTTAGTTAATCAATCCCCAGAGTTCCATAATGAGGAAAAAAAAAAAAATTCTGTTCAAGCTTAACAAGTCCTCCTACTGTCTGAATTCTGCAGGAAAAAAAAAACAATGTGCAAATGGTATTGAACCCAGGTTGAAACCAGTGGCCAGCCACGCCACTTCACTATGACTTCATCCTGGGAGAGGAAGTCCAAGCTGTCAGGTACTGACGCTGGACCAAGAGGCATGTGTGCTGTCAGTTCTTTGTTAGTATTTGGGAAGAAGAGGCAAGACCAATTCTGGTTATACTTCACAAGATCCTGGTCAACTGGGAATCCTGAACCAAGGGGATTCATCTCTCCCCATTGCCCACTGCCTGCTTCAGGGGAAAACATCAATTGCTTAGGCTTCAGACAAAACACTGTGATTGCTTGGTGTGCGGAGTTGCATTCTTCCTCAGGACCAAGGATGCTGCGTTCTGTTATTGTTTAGCTGATGGATGTGAGCATTTTGTCAGTCATCTGACAGTTTCATTTTTCTTCCTTAGGAACATTTGCACTTCGTGATGGAGATTTCCCAAGATGAGATTTTTATTCTCGACCCAGATATGGTGGTGTCACAGCAGGCGGGGACACCCCCCGGCATGCCTGATCTGGTGGTAGAGCAGGCCTCAGGGTGAGTGAGCTTCTCCTTGATTGGCACCAGCATCAGGCTGGCCTCAGGGTGACCTCTGGGTCTGGCTTGCTTTTGAAGTTGACATTGTAATCCAGCAAACTATTCTGAGGTGCAGATTTTCTGGTGTGTGTTTTTGCTTTGTTTTGTTTTGTTTTTGTTTTTTATCAAGTGAGGCGTAGCTTGATGTGTGGTTAGTCTGACTTATGAGTAGCTGTATAGAACGCACATTCCCAACTAGATTTGTGTCATGTCTGAGCCTTTTTTAACCATTACACCAACACATCCTACCAGACCTAGAAGCGACAGGTACTTGCATCTGTGCATCTATGCCCATTTATTTGGTCTGTTATCCAAACAAAAAGTTGACAGAGGTGATGTGACAGTGATTCTCTTCTTCTCCACTGTTTCCAGGCTGAGATACATAGATTATATAACAAGGACTGTGACATGTCAGTCTCTCACTAAGAGCCACACACTGTGCAGCACACCCCTCCTGTATTCTAGTGAATTAATCATTGGAAGTGCTCTGTGCTTGTTTTCTTATCTGTGAAATGTAATAAAAATTATTTCTACTCAGAGAAGTTGTTTGAAGAGTAAACAAATTGATGGAGATAAAACATTTAGAATAGTTTTTGGCCCTTTGATTGACATTGATTAAATATTATGTTGTTAAAAATCACAATCATCATTTTATAATGATGCAACTTAGTTTTTATTATCTTAAATCCATACTAAGAAAATTGAGGTTTAGTGGGTTATGTGACTTGCTTAATACCTCACGGAAAACCTGGGGTTCAGTCAGCTCTGATGCCAGAGCCCAGGCATTTATCACATTGCCTTACCAAAATAGTGTTAACGTTTCTAGGCGATTTCAAAATTTTTTAACAATTCAAAAATATTTATTTGAAGCTGTTTTGTGTAACAGATATTAGTGTAAGACTTGAGAAACAACAGTGCAAAAGTTAAGCAGAGGGGTGCTGGGGTTGTGGCTCAGTGGTAGCAGACTTGCCTAGCATGTGTGAGGCACTGGGTTTGATTCTCAGCACCATGTATAAAGAAATAAAATAAAGGTCCATCGACAACTAAAAAAAATTAAAATAAAATAAAAGCAGAGGAGGGGGCTTTCTGATATACGGGGGCTGAAGAGTTGAAATGAGGACAGTCCTGGGGAGCAGACCAGCCTGTGCACATGCTCACAGTATGTAACAGGCATGTTCATCGGAGTTAACTTTCTCCGTTGGCCCCCTTCACTTAATTTGCTTTCCATTTCAATTTTGGTCCATTGCTGCTATTTTTTATTGTGTGCTACTCTGCCAGAGCCAGCCGATATCCACGGTACATGCTGAGTGTGTGGGGATCAGGAGCAGGTTGATGTGGCAGCGTGGAACCATCCAGAGTTGCATGTAGAAAGTCAGTGCCACCAGAACTGTGCTGGCCTGAGGGGAAGGTCACAGGCACGAGGATGGCCTAATGTAACCCCAGATGTCCCAAAGGCTACCTTTGTGTGTTATGGCTCTACCTCCAACCTGTCAGCTGTGGGAAAGCAGGTGTGATGCTACATCCCAATGCAACAGTGGCAGGTGCTGGCATCTGGGGCCCTCCTGCCCTGAAAGTCAAGTGCTCACCTGTGATCTGATGAGGAGTGAGGCTACCTTGCCAAGGCTGCCCTCGGCATTGACCTCTCACTCTCTCCATGTCAAATACTGGCCAAATACTGGTTTTCCCTTAGTTACACCTCTTAGCTCCAAATATAAGTAGCTGGAAAATCCACTAGAACTCTAACTCACCCCTTTCTTACTTCTTATCAGTTCTCAAGAAATAAACTAGGATCCAAGAACAATGAAGGAGGATGGGCTTTGTAACTTTCTAACCTGCATTTCTGTGCCAGGCTCTCTATTGCTTCTGACTCCCATCACATGTAAAAATCACCTAATCTTTTTTATTTTTTATTTTATTTTTTGTTTCCAGGAATTGAACCCAAGGATGCTCAACCACTGAGCCACATCCCCAGCCCCTTTTTAAATATTTTATTTAGAGACAGGGTCTTGCTGTGTCACTCAGGGCCTCACTAAGTTGCTGAGGCTGGTTTTGAACTTATGATCCTCCTGCCTCAGCCTCCCAAGCTGCTGGGATTACAGGCGTGTGCCGCCCGGGCCCAGCAAAATCATCTCATCTTGACGTTCAGTTTATCTGTGAAAAAGGTGAAATCTTCCAATTAGTTCGTGTAACAAAGAGTCAATGAAATATGGAAATGTGAAACAAACTCTCAGTCAAGGTGGATTTCACTTCTCCAGTGTGGAGAAAAGGGCCTTCCTGAGATAGGACGGAGTTAATCACTTGCTGATTTTTAGTGCTTAACTGTCTGGTGCCTTTCTTTCTCCCAGGCTGTCAGACTGGTGGAATCCTGCCCTGCGGAAACGCATGCTGAGTGATAGTGGGCTGGGGATGATAACTCCCCATTACGAGGACTCAGATATGAAAGATTTCAGCCACTCCCGTGTGCTACAGTGAGTCTCTGGCCATCTTCCTTGGTGCCACTGTGATTGTTGGGAGATTTGTACCCTGTGACATTTACTACTAGCACAGACTCCCTTTTCAGTGGTGCTCAAGCTGTCTCATGTCTGTGTCATTGTGGCTTGCTCACTTTTATTTCCTTGCTCACTTTTGTCGACCTCAAGCTCCTGAAGGAACTTCCATTTGTCTTGCTCATGAGCTACCTTGAGACTGCATGCGGATCTCTCAATATTTCGATTTCCACCAGTGTTTTCTTTACTGGCATCCAGTGTTTATCGAATGTTCTTGCTTACCACATCATGGAGACATGCATGAGAGTAATCGTGAATAAATAGTTGGGAGGTGACCCATAGTTTTTCATCTGTGTGACCTTGTGTCAAGAGATGAGCCTCTGCATGTTTGCTCTGCATATTATTGTCAAGTAGCTCTTTTGCCTGAAGTGAGGTGCTGCCTGTGTGTGGTTGCAGTCTCTGTGGGCGAACGAATACAGTATTTGTTCAGAGATCAGAATAGCAGGTGTCCTTTCTTCTCAGACCTGATCTTGGGTGGAAAGAAGGATGCAGGTTTGAGCTTTGCAAGTGTGTTGGCACCTGATTCTCAGTGAACCCTCCCTTCTCCTATCCCTAAGTGCAAGTGCAGACACACCCTCTTGCACCCACTGTTTAGTTTCAGGCCAATGGCCCCATCAAGTTCACTGCAATTCAGGAAAGTAGGCTGGTTTCCAGTCCTCTTGGGGTGCTAATCAAATAGTGACAATGGCCTTGTCACACCCAATCTCACCTTTTGACAGAAAAACAAGATGGCTAAGATTCTTAGGAGCTCAGGGTTAACTGAAAGGGGAAGACAGTGTTTCTAAAAGAGGACCCGGAAGCAATTTCAGCATGACAAAGGAGAGAAAAATGAGAAATCTGAAGCTAATTATTTTATTGGCAAAGGTTCTACTCAGACACCCTGAGGGCAGAAAGAGACTTCATTTTAATTACTCCTTGGTATTACCTCCTATTTTCTTATGTGAAGGGGAGTAAAGGGAAAATAATGAATTAGTATAGATTTTCTTTTTTAATTAAACATGTTGTTGGTTCCGATGGCATTTTGACTGCTTACAATTCAGGGTGTTTCTCCACTTTGTTTTTATACAGAATTAGCGCTTGAGAAGCAGGGCTTGTCAGCCACCCATGAATAGCTTTTAAAAAAAGTGGTCGTCTATCTGTGGGCAGGCTTATTGGAAAATTAGAGTTTAATTAGCTGCAGAAATAGAAATCAAGCCCATACAAAACAGCTGAATGTTTTAGTGTACAGTTTCCAAAAAAAATGGAAAATGATCTCAATCTAGTTTTCTATGCCCTGATTTTTCTATATAGGACATATTGATGTACATGGATATATGAAGGAATTACTTCTAAAGTAGTAAATGTTTTTCCCCCAAATCATAAACAAATGTTCCACTGTACATGGTAGCCCAAGTTTTTAAAACACCCTGTCTAAATCAATGTTGATTTTTTAAATTTAGGTTATACAATTGGCCCTTCGTGTCACTTGGGATGGGTTCCAGGACCTACCACAGTTACCCAAATCTGTGGATGGTCTAGTTCCTTATGTGAAATGGTGCAGTGTTTGCATATAGCTCACCTCTAGATTTCTTATAATACCTAATACAATATAGATGCTATATAAATTGTTGTTACACTGTATTGTTTGAGAAATCCTGACAAGAAAAATAAAAAAGACTGTACATATTTAGTCACATATATTTTCAAGTATTTTTATCCTCAGTGGGTTGAATCCATGGATCCCTGCGTATGGAGGACCCAATATTATCCCTTTGGGGATTTCTCTTAAATTTTTGTGTATCTTTAATTGATAGCTGTCGATTTTCAGGAGTCACAGTGAAGCATTCACATGCAGTCTCCACACACTCAGCAGAACAAACAGGCCATCATCTTGGGCTCCATCTCCATCTCAGACTCACTGAAGATCTATACACACATAAATGGTTGTTTGAATTTACTTGTTCTAAAAAAAAGAGGTCAAAACTAAACTAAGTACTTTACCAGCACATGTGCACTGACTCTTAACTTTGCTTTGTTATTAGTATGTCCCTTACTTCCATAGGAGGAACCTCTTTTTGTCTGTTTGGAGATCATCTCTGATATAGACAGATAAGTAGAGCTAAGGAGATACCTCATGTTATAATAGCTACTGTTATGGAATACCTCCTGCTGGCTTTTCACCATAATGAAATTATCTTTAATTCTTTCAACGACTTTTAAATTTAGCCCTTGCCTAACATATGAGTAAATTGAGGCTCATAGAGGGTAAAATATTTAATTTAGTCACCCAAGAGCAAGTGCAATTTGAATGAGGTCAGATTGGCTCAAATGACATCATGCTTTTCCACTAGTATACTGCCTTCCCAAAGGGACCATGCAAGGGCAGCTTGCCCAGCTGCGAGTCTCACTGCCTCAGAAAGATTTACTTTGGTTTCCATTTCCTTTTACCATTTATAGAGGAAAAAATCCTACAATAATAGCAGTATATTGTTTGCACATTAAATATTTAACTGCAAACTTACCATAAAGTAAATATAACTGAAAAGGAATTTTGAAGCAAGAAAAAAAAATTCTTTGTTGTTTTGATATGAAAATTCATGGTTTAAGACTTCTATTTAAAAAGCATTAAACAGGGCTGGGCCATAGCTCAGTTGGTAGAGTGCATGCCTCACATGCATAGGCCCTAGGTTCAATCCCCAGCACCACAAAAAATAATAAAATGAATAAAAATAAAAAGCATTAAAGTGTATCAAATATGCACCAATATAAGCATAAAGTTATTATATAAAGGCACTCATGCACTGACCACCCTGATTCATCATTGCTATATTTGCATTGTCCTTCTATTAATCCACAATGTAGAAGAGTATAAAAATACATAATTTTTATGGCTATTTTTGTATTACATTTAAAAAATTTTTCATCACCTGTGTCACACAATGTATATATTTTGGAACTTGCTATTTTATTCAGCATCATATTTTTGAAGTTCATTCATGTTGATATGTAGGTTGTAAATTATTTTATTCCATGTAGAATTTTAAAGCACAAATATGCCATAATCTGTTTCTCCATTTTTGTATTTACATCTAATATTTTATTATTTTAAACAATGCAGCCAGCAGCCTGCTGCGTATGCCCTTTTGTGTTGCACAGTATATATGAAGTTTCAAATGTATTTAATATTGCAAAGTTTACCTTCCCAGCAGGAGTATATTTAACAATGTTTACATATATTTAGCCTGAAGAATTTTCTTAACACGATTGGCATCTGCTACTTTCAGACTTAAAGCCTCAGTCAACTTGGAGATAGGAGAAGTTCAGTTCTAACATCTTCAACCCAGTCTCTAAGAAGAAATCAAATGGGACACTTTAAATTCTTAGTACTGAACAAATTATTTACCAGAATCTTCAGGTCGTGGCTGAAGTGGCATTCCCAGAATGACTCATGACCCCAGATTTATTTATCAAGTCAAAAACTATTGCAAACAAGTAAGCAGAGCCTTCGATTTGATGGAAGAATCCTAGAGTCAGGAATGAAGAAACACAAGGGGAGAAAGATATAAAGAGAGAAATGAGTGGCAAGGAGTAGAAAGTCAATGAAATAAATGACTAACCAAAAAATCAAAATTTTAAAAATTGATTCTTGGAAAAGGGAAACAGGGAGACAAATTTCTAAGACTATTTTTTTTTAATTGCATGGCAGTCACCTTTGCTGCCTTTCCCAGTCCAGTCTTTCTCAGTGTCACATGGCCACCCAGCTGCCCTTACCCATCCACATGCTGATGGACCATTGCCTCAGGCTCCTCTGGGTCTTCTTAGGGTTTTAATATTTGAATTCTTAGATAGATCATCTCCTCTCCTTCTTTAGGGTGAGTGAGAGGGAATTAAGGATGAATTACATTTCTATTATTACTGCAACTGGTGGCATTGCTGTTGCTTATACTTGAAAGCATTATTATTTTTAAGGAAGATGCCTCATACTCACCAGCTAACGCACAGGTCCTTCAAGAGGGACTGGAAGTCCAAAGAAGGATGCACAATACCTGGGGTCTTCTAAACCTGTGAGCACAGCAAAGGGCAATCTTTAAGAACCAATTTTGAAATGAATTGGCGGGAGGTGCTTAACTTATATTTTACTGCTAGGACCACAATGAATTTGTCTTTAAGTTTTTTTTTTTTTTTAAATGTTTTGAGTGCCTAAGAAAGTTCTATTTAAAATGATTTTGAAAGCATGTTTTCTCTTATCATTAATTGTACCACCACTGTTTGTGACAAGACTGTATTTCATTTTGACAGATGATGAATGAGGAGGGAATTAAATTTTAGCAGACAAAATCTCTTTGAGTCTAAGGAAGAACTTTACCATCTTCTGTGACTTTAGGGTCCATGAGATAAGAAAACAGACACTGAATGAAAGCGCGATATATTCTTTCCAAATTCTCTTTGAGAAAAGGGCAGACTCACTTGTAAGTCAGGGGGTTAAGGGTGGGCAGGTAAAAGGCTGGGAGATACTGCTTCAGTTTCTGAATAGAATAACTTTTTTACAGTTTTTACATTTTGTGGTTTATGAAAAACTCCAAAATTGCCTGAAAGATGCACACTTTTCTTGATATCCCTAAGTCCTAAGCCTGAAGGAATAAAATGAAGGATTGTCATACAAATAAAAATAGAGCATTTTGCCACTGGACTAAGAAAATAGGGAGATAGTGCAGTGAAGAACCCCGGGGCAGACGCTGGATCCAGACGTGTGTCTAGGCAGGTATCTGTGACCTAATCGGCTGAGCAGGGCTGATGGATTGCTATGATTAGCAGAGTCAGTCTCTCAAACAAGAGATAATGTTACCCAAGATATAACTATAAGGTATGAGGTTTCATTTATGATTTTGTTTCAGTTCTAAGAAACCAGTTGCACTCTTCAGTCAATTGTTTATTGAATAAAT